TGTCAGTCCTAAGCACTTTAATCTTCCTTCCAGTCAGTTTCTCAGCCTCAATTTGGAAGGCTTTAAACTTCACCAAAGCTTCACTTTTCTCCTTCATGAATGCTACCCACAGAAACCGTGAAACGTCATCGATAAACGTGATCATAAATCTCATACCTCCAATAGACGAGCACCTTACTGGTCCAAATACGTCACTATGCACTAATTCCAGGGGTTCTTTTGATCTGTAGTTGGACTGATGAAATTTTTGTTGGTGAGCTTTACCGAATTGACACCCCGAGCACACTGCTTCCTGTTGAACTTTTTATAGGGGTAACCCTGCAACCAACTGTTTGTTCATCATCATATTGAGTTTGGAATAACTCACGTGGCCTAGTCGAGAGTGCCACAGATCAACACTATGGGTATTCTTGGTTTTCTCTATGTAGGCACCTTCCGCGGAAAGAACATAAACAGAGTCTCGTCGATGGCCACTCAATATGGGGATCGACGGGGTTTCGAAATCATCAAACACGCATACCTGATTGGGTCCAAATAGGATGTATTTTCCTGTAGCAGTTATCTGCGGGACTGAAAAGAGATTCTTCCCCATACCAGGTACATGAAACACATTGTCTAGCTTTACATCTTTCTGATCTGTACTCATGGGAAACATAACATCTCCAACGTGAGCGATTTTGTGACGTGAGTTGTCGGCAATCACCACTACTTGATTTCCACCATATGGAACTGGACTTAGGAGTCGGCTTTTATCCCATGTCATATGATTTTTACAGCCAGAGTCTACAATCCAGTCGTCTAACATGTTTATTTGACTCCCAGTTGATGTGGCTAGGGCAAAACGTGGTTGCACATGAGTTGGACTTATTTTTCCATGTTGGGCTTCAACTCCTTGGGTCAGATCACTATTCACAACTTTGGCCATTAGGGCTTCAGTTTCCCAACCTGCTTCATGATTCTCAGCTATCGCCACATTGCCTTCATCTTTAGGAGATCGACAATGCTTTGCCACATGTCCTCTTCTTCCACAGTTGTGACATTTGTAGGGAAATCTCTTACCATGATTTCTTGGTTTCTTTTCACCGGACCCTTCACCTTTCTCGTACGTTCGGTTCATCTTCTCACCTTCAAATTGCTTAGCACGTTCATGATTTCGGTTCGATGACTGAGATGTGTTATGCCTGGAACTAGACTTAGCCTTGTTTACATACATGGCTGTTTCCTCAGGCTTTAGTTGTACACCAGAAAATTGTTTCGTGAGAGATTCTTGACTAGACAGTAGATTTTCGAACTCAGTGATTGAAGGTTGAGTCGGACACCCTTGAATAGCTGCTACAAAGGATCGATATTCAGGCTTCAGGCCATGAATAATGATCCTCTTCATGCGAGATTCACCAATATTGCCCTCTGGATCCAGTTCTCCTATTTCACGGCACAAGCTCTTAACTTTGTGAAAGTATTGCGGGATCGTTAAATCCCGTTGGGCCACAGACATCAACTCGTTTTCCAACAATTGCAGTTTCGTGTTATTCTTTTTGGAGAAAAGTGCCTTCAAAGCATCCACACTTCCTTGGGTGTGTTGAAGTCTCGAATGTGTTCGAGAAGTTCTTCTTCAATTGTTGTTTTGATGACGAACAGTGCTTTGCCCGTCTTCACTTTCCATTTTTGTATCGCTCCGTTGGTATCAATCCGTGGTTCGGTGGTGTTTGTTCCTCCTACAACGTCCCACAAGTCTTGTCCCAATAGATAGGAACTCATGCAGGTCGACCAGGTATTGTAATTGGTTTTACCCAGCTTCTTGACACCTCCGATTGATTGGAACTCGGACATTTTTCTGCTGCAACGGTGATACCACTTGTTGGTTTCTAAACACAATAAGAAGGAACTAAATAATGAAGAAACACACAATGGTCACACAAGTTTCTGCTCGTATCTTCTATTTCATGTGCTCAACAAAAGAAGGGAAATACAAAGTATTAAAGGAAACAAATTAACTAACTACCCACTACATAGTCAAAGCAGAAAATATAGCAGAAAAATAGCCACAAAGGCAACTAACTAAAACATGGAAATAACAACCTTCAACGTGCAAATATTACGAGATCAAATTGACCTGATGATGTGGACTCCATGATGTTGCTAACCAACAATATCATCTTCAAACTCGGTATTTTCAAACATATGTTTTTTTTAAATAGTTCATAGATTCACAAATTGGTTTGGAAGCCCAGGACCGGTCCATAGGTTTTCAATGCTAAAGGCAAAAAAAACTTAACAATGCCCCAATACCTTTATTATATATATATATATATATATATATATATATATATATATATATATATATATATATATATATATATATCATAATTAACTTTTGTATTTTCAACAAGTTCATTAGAATTACTTCATTAGAATTACCCCTAATGTAATCAATTTAAAAAAAAAAGAGCCTAACAAAATTATTAACATGAAGCGTTTCAGGAAAATTAAAGAAACATGTCACTGTGTTCATCAATTTGTAACATAATCTCAAAACTAAAACAAACTCTTCAAATCTTCTATCAATCTCAAAACTAAAACAAACTCTTCAAATATTCTATCAAAATTGGGTATAAGGAATCTGTCAGCAACAAAACATTGTTAGAACTACAGTACCACCCAATTAAGGTAAACTCAAAGGGCATAATCGTCCAACCAATATATCCCTTTAATATTCTTTGAATCCAAACTCCCGGTCACTTTAAGTTGACAACTCTAACTAAATACACCTCTATGAGTGGGTTATAGCATCAAGGGCAGAATCGTCCAAACTAAACGTTGCAAACAACATCACACCACACCTGGTTAAAATTCCAAAACAAAGAAAAAAAAACGTAACATTAGATAAAAAAATGACATCTAGAAAAGCTAAACAACAAATTGAAAACCATGTAATTTCGTAGAAAAGGGGCACGATCATCCATAATAAGAACCATACAGGAGAATAATTCCATTCCAAATGTGATCATCGCAAAGAAGAAAAACACCAGCGAGTCATGGAAATCATAGCAGGAAGGAGTATAAAAAAATGAAAAACAAAATTTTCTTGTGTTCTTGGCAGAAATCGAGAGACAAGATTGGAGAGTTTAGAGAAATAGAGAGACTAGATAGGATAGTTTAGAGAAATCGAGAGAGAAGATAGGATAGTTTATAGAAATTACATTTCTTATGATCTTGACAGAAATCGTTTTGCGTATCCGAATAACAGCCCCTGACCAATCAATGATTGAGAAAACCAATCGACTCCTCGTCTTCTACATTTCGACTTTCTAGGTAACGATTGGGATAGATGGAAACGAGTAAGCGACGGTGTATACTATCAGAGTCTGGAGAGTTGTACTCATTTGGGCCAAATACCTACAATAATAACACGATGAACTAAATTTAGGCCCTTTTGTTTATTGCTGCCCCGGGCCTCCGCCCATACCGCCCAGGTATTGGGCCGGCCTTGTTGAAGCGTACGCATCATTTTCAAAGAGAAAAAACATCATATTTTGTTTTTATGACTAATGGACTAATGTCAAATCTATTCAAGGGAACCCATCCAAAAACCCTACTTAAATATTTTTGAAGACAAAGAACATGTTTGAAATACTTTCGAATGATTCTCGAACATGTCCTTTGTCTTCTAAAACTGTTTTTATTGCAGAGCAACTATTTAAAACGGTTTGAAATTTCTTTTTTATATTAAGAAAAAGTAGAAACTTGTTGTCTTTCTGTGTTTCACGATCCGAAAAAATCAATTATAAAAGTTGTCGTTTTTGGAGTCTTCAAAACGGATTTTCGGGTAAAAGGGATACAAATAATATTTTGCCATTTTTATGTACCGGAGACACATAATATATTTTAAATATTAGAAAAACAAAAATTATCCAAAATTGTTGTTATTTTTTGAAAATTTAAAGAGAAGGATAATGACCTAAAATTTACTCCAAAAGAAAAAACTTTGGAATATCCTTAAAATATTTTTTTGGTGAATAGTTTTAGTAGAAAGGAATATAAAGAAAATGGCCACAAGACAAATAGCTTTAATGAATATCAAGTAAAAAAGGAAACAGGCTTGAGTTCTTTTTGCAATATCACTATAACCTCCTTTCACGTGCTCATGCACATCTTACCCCATAAACCCACACTCTAGTGAATATAGTAGGTAGAAACACTCTATATCCTTGTCAAGAAAGTTTTTGAAACGATTTGGCTTAAGAAGGTCCCTAGGATCTCTAATTGTCATAATATCCATAACATTTATTTATTTGAATACCCGTCTTCTAAACTTAGAGACACGTGCATTATCGTCGACGGGTAGTCGACCCAATCCCAATTCAGTCATTAAAATTTTGAAAAAGCATGACTAGTAGTTCATCCCGTTCTACCTAAATAAGAAAAATATTATATTAAGAAAAGTAGAAACTTGTTTTCTTTGTATGTTTCAAGACCAAAGCCGATTGCAGAAGGCATCGTTTTAGGAGAGTTTCAAAAAATATTCTCGGGTAAAAGAGGTATAAATAATATTTTTGCTGTTTTTATGTACTCTGGACACATAATATATTTTAAATATTAGAAAAAAAAATTATCAAAAATTGCGGGTTTTTTTTTTTTTTGAAAATTTGAAGAGAAGGATAACAACCTAAAATTTATTCAGAAAAAGAAAAATTGGAATATCCTTAAAATATTATTTTGGTGAATAGTTTTAGTATAGAGACGAATATTACAAAGAAAATGGCCACCAAACAGATAGATTTAATGCCTTTATATGTCCCACTCCCACATCGGTTCATTTATTAAAGCTAAAAAAGGAAATAACCCTATATATATATAAAGATGGGAACGGCTCTTATACGTAAAATCTTAGAGCCTCCTTTTGTTTCTATAAGGTATATTTTTATTCAGAAACGAGTTTTAGGTAGTAAGAAAGGGTTCGACATACACATCTAGAGCAGTGTTTTATTAGTTCGAGGAAGATGAGGATTTCGATTAAAGGAGGTGTTTGGACAAACACAGAGGATGAGATCCTCAAGTCTGCTGTGATGAAATACGGGACGAACGAATGGGGTCGTACGTCTTCCTTACTTGTGCGCAAATCCGCTAAGCAGTGTAAAGCTCGTTGGTACCAGTGGCTCGATTCTTCCATCAAAAAGGTACGCATCATATTCTCAAGAATTGCTACTTTACATATTGATTTTAATCTATCGAGGTGTCAATTTCTGACTAATGTTTTTTTTATCTTTAAGCAATAACGTTAATTAAGTGGTATATATGTTTCATATATACACACAAACAAGTTTTTCAAATTCTGACATGGGATATACGTTTTGGTTTACCACATACAACAAAATTAAAATTTATATGGTGATGATGTCTGTAACTTGATGATTCTTTTCTCGGGTAATGTCATTGCAAGGGTAAGTTGCATGAACTTGTTAGGAGAAAGCTTGTATATTGTTAGGTAGAGACAAAGAGATAGGAGAAACCCTTGAATAAAGAATTACCACTAAACTCTAGCTGTTGATAAAATCATTAATATTCTTGGCATCAATTTTGTAATAATCGATATCCTGAGTGTTTTTCTCTTTAAATTTACAGACTGAGTGGACCAGAGAGGAGGATGAGAAGCTGCTTCATCTTGCTAAGCTCCTGCCGAGTCAATGGAGAACAGTCGCTCCCATGGTCGGCCGCACTTCCTGTGAATGCATTGACCGCTACGAAAAGCTTCTGGATGCAGCTTGTGTAAGTGATGAAAAATATGATGATCCAAGGAAATTACGACCCGGAGAGATCGACCCAAACCCGGAAGCAAAGCCTGCTCGACCCGATTCAGTTGACATGGACGACGATGAAAAAGAAATGCTTTCAGAAGCAAGGGCTCGATTATCCAATACAAGGGGAAAAAAGGCAAAAAGGAAGGCCCGGGAGAAGCAGATTGAAGAAGCCGGTCGTCTTGCTTCTTTACTAAAGAAGAGAGAATTGAAGGCGGCCGGAATTGATGATTATAGGAAAAGGAAGAATTTCGACTGCAATGCTGAGATCAGGCCGCCAATTGGCTTTTATGATGTCGCTGATGAAAGTTCAATAGTTGAGCAACCTAAATTCCCAACCACCATCGAGGAAATGGAAGGTGAAAGAAGAGAGGCCCGTTTGAGAAAGCAGGACATTGCGAAGAACAAAATAGCATGGAGACAAGATGCTCAAAAAACCGATAGAAAAAGGCCGAAGATGGACCTCCCGACACCACAGATTCCAGATTATGAGTTACGACACATCACAAAAATGGGTCTTCAAGCTTTCAAAGATCAATTGTCACAAGGAAGTAGTGTCACACGTGCTCTCCTTCCTGATTATACATGTCAAGGAATGATTAAGACGCCGCTGCAAGGAAAGAAAGAGATGATTATGATGGAGGCCGCAAATCAGGCAAGGCACAGGGGCGGACGCAAGAATTAGTAATAGGGGTTGCACAAATTTTTTTTTCCCGTCACACATAATATAAAACATTAAAAAAAATAAATAAATTCCGGTCAAACATAATATAAAACATTTATTCATCTAATACAATTTTTTTTTCTGGTTAAACATAATATAACAACGATATACTAGAATTTAAAATTGTCCTCTTCGTGCAGACATCTTTTGAAACCGCTCCATTACTTTTTCATTCTCAACTTTTGCAAGTGCTTCGGTCTCGACATTACACAACAATGCGTCGTTCAAAAATTCATCGCCAATTTTGTTACGCAAGTCGGTCTTCAAGAAGTTCATATTTGAAAAACATCTTTCTACACTTGCGGTCGCTACAGGTAATATCAAAGCCAACTTCAATAGCTTATAAACCAAAGGATAAGATCGATGCTTCCCCGTATTAACCATCAAACGAGAAAGGTCGGAAATTCCTTTCAAACTAGCGAAGCGCTCATCTTTGATGCAAGAGTGATAAAATATCTCAAGTTGTCCTTCAAGGTCTATCATATCTGAATCATCAAAGTCATACTTGTATAACTTACCCAACTTCAATAACTTTGATTTGTCAAATTGTGCAAATGAATCACAAGGGCTCAAAGCACCCATGTATTCTAGTAATTGGGTGCTTGTTTCACTAAACGATCCCGATATTCTATAAGTTGCATATCTACCACCGTGTTGAAGATTTCAACCTCAAAATGAAACCTATTAGTCTTTGTAGTCCTACGCTTTTTCGCACCAATATACAACTCTTCCATATCCAAAGTATCAATTTCGTGTGTTTCACAAAAAGATGATACTTTTGGCAAAATGCTAGCAAACCCTATGTTTTTAAAAGATTGCAATGCCTCCATTGTCCCTCTAACCATCAAAGCCGCTTCTAAAATGTCTAAATCTTTTCTTTGAAGTTGCTTTGACAATGTACCCGTGAGGTGTAAAATGTCATACATCATATGTAAGTAAAACACGAACTCATATGATTTAAAATATGCTAAGATTCCAGATGCTTGTTGACGGTTTGCCAATGACCCTCCCTCCTCTTTCACAAAATCTAAAACTACAAGAACATCCGCAAATAACTTCATCAAACTTGTGAGTGTGTTGAAATGTGAACCCCATCTTGTTTCTCCCGCTCGAACAAGTGTAGTCTCTTGATTTAACCCTCTTCCGGTTTCAAGTTCACCACTACACAAGCCTTTTTGCACCCTTTCTCTTGCTTGCTCTCGTAGTAAGTCTTTTCTTTTACACGATGCACAAACTACATTAACCACCAACGAAATTTGCTCAAAAAAGTCACTAACACCATCATGCTTCTTTGCTACAGCCACAACTACTAATTGAAGTTGGTGTGCAAAGCAATGTACATAAAAAGCCGTGTCATTCTCTTGTAATATCAAAGCTTTCAAACCATTGAATTCCCCTCGCATATTGCTAGCCCCATCATAACCTTGTCCTCTTATCTATTAAAAGTTAAAACAATTAATATATATATATATATATATATATATATATATATATATATATATATATATATATATATATATATATATATATAAATTAAATTGAAATAACAAAAAAACTAAAGAATAAATTACCTGACTAAAACTCAACTTATTACTTCTAAGTACTTCATTTATGGCGTTTTTGAGTGTCAAAGAAGACGTATCCTTCACGTGCACTAGACCTATGAATCTTTCTTTCACAAAGCCAAGAGTATCGACATAACGCAAAACAATAGTCATTTGTTCCTTTTTTGAAACATCACTAGATTCATCAACTAGTAAAGCAAAAACATCTTGACCAATCTCTTCACAAATACTTAAAAGTACTTCTTGTGCAAAACATTGCACAAGTTCTTTTTGAATTTTAGGGGAAATTAGTTGATTGTTTTTTGGAGCATTTTCTAAAGTATTGTTGAAAATATCTTCACTAGTCTCTCGAATGGCTTTTAACACTTCAATGTATAGCCCTCTATTTTCCGAGTTAACTGACTCGTCATGACCACGAAACGGTAAACCGGTTTTCAATAAAAGTCTAACAACAATAATAGAAACACGTAATCGAGCTTTATATTTATGATCCTCTGCTTCGGTTTGCCTCCTAAAGACTACATTGATAGCTTGTTTTTCCCTCATTAAAAACTCACACTTTTCTTTTGCTTTGTTGTGAAAACTATCAATACCACCCATATGAGTCTGAAATGCATCTTTTTTATTCCAAGTATCAAAACCTTGAGAAACAAATGCATCTCTCCCTCCTTTTTGTCCCATGAGGTCCCCACACAAATAACAATATAAACAATATGCACTATCCTTTTTCACACTATATTCCAACCAATCAAAGTCATCAAACCATGAAGGAACGAATACTTGACACGGTCCTTGAAGCAAATATGCTCTTCTTACATCATCTCTTATATTTGGTTTGTAACTTGTAATCAATGGCCTATCCGCCGGGTCCTTTGGAAGATCCTTCAAGTCAACATTATCATTAGGTTGGTTAGAGCATTGTGTTTGTGGAGTTGCATTAGAAACCGAAGGGATTGATTGATTGGTGATTGGTGTTTGTGGAGTTGCATTAGGATTAGAAACGGAAGGCATTGATTGATTGGTGATTGGTATTTGGGAACATTCTTCACCACTTTCATTAGGATTAGGTCTTTGTCTTTTGGTAAAAAAACCAGTTAGTTTAACCTATAAAAACATAACAATGACTTCAATAAAACAACTTGCTTTCACCTAATCAAACAATAAATTCAATAAAAACATAACAATTACACCTAATCAAACAATGACTTCAATAAAACAAGTTGGTTTCACCTAATCAAACAATAAATTAAATAAAACATATCAATTTCACCTAATCAAACAATCAATTCAATAAAACAAGTTGCTTTCACCTAATCAAACAATAAATTCAATAAAACATATCAATTTCACATAATCAAACAATCAATTCAATAAAAAACATAGCAATATAACCTAAGCAAACAATATAACTTCAACAAAACAAATCAATTTCACCCAAATCAATCATTAACTTCAAAAACACATATCAATTTCAAATATCTTAATGAATTGATAATTGGTAAAACTTACTTGCTTCATTGTGAAATCGATCAAGACATCAAGTATTGTGAATTTTGATCCATCAAACCATTGAAATCGATCAAGCCTCAGCCCTCAAGGTCGATTGATCGATTGAATTTTGGGGCCAAAAGTCGATAGTCGTGGACGTCGTGCCTACTGCTTCGTGCGTCGCTTCTAAGTCTTCGATCGTTTTTTTTTTTTTTTTTTTTTTCCTTTCAACCAATGGTTTAATTAAAATTTCACAATTAGGATTATTGGGCTATCTTTTTTACAAGCAATTAGCCCAATTGCTAATTTATCAAATTAAGTTTCATTTGGGTTTTAGGGCTTTAGACAATTGGACTAACTACAATTGAATAAAACATTTGGCCCGTTATTATTTTTTTTTTTCGTTCGGTAATTCCCGAAAGAGTGACTATATTTTTTTATGTACTTGCACAATTTTTTTGGTAGGTGCACGATTTTTTTTACGTAGTGGCACAATAGGTAAAAATTAAAAAAAAAAAAAATTCTACTTCGTACGCGGAAGCTAGGTGTTGCCGGTACCACACCGGGCACCTAGCTAGGACCGCCCATGGCGAGGCAGAAGGTGAGATTGCCAGATGGTAAAACTTCTTATTAGGACATTCAAGTTTGAAAAGCACCTAAATATTGTAGTAACAAGTAATGCGTATGTCAATGACATTGATATAACATGGTAAAAATTTCAACTACACTTTTAAATAAACAAATAAACCAACCGTAACTTGCAATTTATTGCATTTAACCCAATAAAAGTCTATCAACTCTAATTGTAATTATGATCATTTTTATTTACAAATATTTTAAATTATTGAATTTGATATTTTTGTGGTAAACATGGGTGAATTTTCTAAGTTTCGTTGCTTTTAGTGCTGAAAAAAATTTGGAATGTTGCCTTTGCTCTAGTTTTAGTGGTAAAATTGGTTGATCTTGATTGCTATTATTGGCAAAAAGGCTAAGAATGTCGACTTTACCATATTGTTTTAAATTAAGTTGCCGTATTTTCCAAAATTAAATAGGCAAAATAAATAAGTTCATGGGTATTTGACTCATATGTTTAAAAGGTAACACATGATTTTAACATTTTTCCCGACAACTTGCAACACTATAATGAGCTTAAGGAAGAAATGAGAGGCACCTCCAATGCCAGGATATTGCAATTACTCCCACCCTCAACTTCTGGGAAATCTCCTTAAATGCAATGATTGAATCCCACAGCCAACCATCCCAATTTTGTATATCCCTTTTTATATACCTATTCAGTTGCCATCATTGACCTGCAATATGACTAGATTTACAATCAATTTTTTTTTTTAATAATTAAACAAAGTACAAAGTTAAATATTTATGGTACCTACACCTTCTCCACAAGCAACAAGAACTTAAAGGTCTTATCAGGAACCATCAACAAAATCAAGTTTTCGTCGGTGTCAAAAAGTATAAAATGTTCAAAGTCATCAAATGATAACAAACTTATATAATCAGAGAAAATTTTCATATTATCATAAAGTTGGGTTGCTGTCTTATACGCCGACCTAATCATGTTTCCACCGGGAGAGATGGTTTGATACATGGCAAATAACATATTTAAAATTAAATACTACGAAAAAATGGTCCAAAACTGAACATGAATAGAGGAAAATTATTAACACAATATCACATTTACGTCATCCACGATAAAAGTTAGAGTTTTAGCTGAACCCCTCGCTTTGAGCGTTCAACGGTCATCTTGCATTTGTGAACATGCTTGCGGTTGTTAATGGATCAAGATAAATGTCCCAATCATGTATTAGTATGATATATTCTTTTATTTTTTTTACTTAATGTCCTTAATGCATATAGGACTTAGTCTGGTAAGATAATTTATATATGAGTTGTTTTTACTTAATAGAGATAGTCATGGATACATGGGAACATGAGCACGAAAAATAGAGGGGCCGATATCAAAATTTTAAAACGAACCATTTAAAGATAGACATTTTTATTAGAAACGACAAATAACATTTTAAAGATAGATTGATTTTCATAATGATATCCGCTACATAAAAATTAGCAAATAACTACATTTACATAATAATCCAACATAACGAAGGCCAATATCTACTAAGAAACAACTATATATTCTAACAAACAATAATTTTAACAAAAATACTAATTGATGTAACAATATAAAATAAAATTTGGTTATTAATAGATACATTATAAAATTCGAACCATACTATGGAATATCTCTACTTTGTTTGTTTTATATTTTACATACTACTTACCATACGATTGTAATTATTCGTATTATGTTTTACATATATAAATCTTAGTGACTGTGTTAATTCTTTTTCATTTACATTTCAGTGAAATAACAAATAAGTTATAAGAAGTAAGAAGTAAGAAATAAATGTGTTTATTCAATAAAGTAAATACTGGTTTTTTTGCAGCTTTTAGACTTACGTCTTTTCATATCTTTTAGATAGATATACACAATCTGTTTTGACATAGTAACTAATGACATGAAGAAATAGAGAAAAACATTAAGAGAATACCATATACACTCACCTTATTTGTTACTCGGCGGTGGTGAGGAAAAAAGAGTGAAAAGCGGCAGCCAACAGTCACCTGACCGACAAAGAGTGTTAGAGTTTAAGTGTTAGTTGTTGCAATTCATCTTCTTCATAAGTTCTTTACTCAAATCATCATCAATGGCGACAACTTCATCACCAACTACAGACGAAATAATCAGTGTTCTGATTCTAAAGATCCAGGGTTCCAACTATCAAGTCGAATCGGATTTGTCAAAGTATCCAGAGGAACTTCACATGCTGGGGGTTGCTTTACAGAATTCAGTTCCGTCTAAAGCAATGTTTGATTCATTTGCTGCTCCGATGTCCTGGTTGTCAAAGGCGGGTTCTACTTCATCATACAACAAGGAGACAGGTTGTGTGGAATTCACAATGGTTAATAATACGAGAATTAGGATCTCCAAGCGGTTATTTTGCAAGATTTTAGGAATTCCGAATTCTGGTCCTTATGATGAACTTTCTTCTTCACAAGTGGTGTTCATGTTCAACGAGATGGGTCATCAACCTCCATTGAAGCGAATCAGTGATTTCAAGAAGTCGGGGTTACCAACAATCTGGAATTTTTTATTTGGCATCTTTCTTTGATGTCTTACTGGAAGAACTGTGGGGCTTGATAAAGGAAGGATGGAGGTGCATGCAATGATAGCTGGGTTGTACTATGATTTGCAAGTAGATTACTCTGAACAATTATGGACAAAGTTCTTAACAAGCATTTTGAAGACAAGTGCTAAGCAGGGGATTTCTTGTGCACGATATTGGAGTATGATAGTCCAATATGTCTATCAGAAGGAAAAAATTGAAGTTCCGAAATATGAAGACAAAGCAGTTTTCCACATGTATGGTAGTCCGAAGGAGGTGCATGATGATCCGGCTATCTTTACCACAGTTGCTCGCATTCCGGATGCGATGCTCAAGAAGGTGGATCCCACGAATAATGTGTTGGTGTCATATTTGCAATCTATTGACACAACCGTTGTTATTGGGATGTTACAACAAGAAGAGAAGAAGAAGTCGAAGAAATCAAAGAAGACAGAGGGTGAGTCTTCGGAAAAAGGGGTGAAAGCAGAACAAAAGAATCAAGAGTTAATAGTTAAATCTAGAACTATCGAAGAGGTGTCTCCTGTTTTAACTTCAGTGGTTGATACACCAGTTATCGAAGCCTCTCCATCAAAAGAAACGATTCCTTCGAAGACGGGGGTTTTTCGAAGAATAAAAATCAAGAGAAAATCTCAATTGGTGAAGAAAACACAGGTTACTCATCAAGGGGTTACTGTTCGAGAAATTCCAGCTCCGGTGTCTCCATCTTCTAAGAAACGAAGGGCTGCAGATATGGCAAAATTTAAAAAAAAAACCCAACGTATAGAAGAAGTGGAACAAGTTCCTGAGACTCCTGAAGATGAAATTCCTAAAGAAGTAGAGACTCTTCAGTCTACTGAAATTTCAAAGCGTGATGATATAAAGCTCATTGAATCAACATCTTTACCTCAGGTTACTTCCACAACTGATTCTCCAACATTCCAATCTATTATGGATCAACCTTTCACCACTATATTCTCAACACAATCAACCGATCCACCAATTTCATCATCACCTGTTGCTGAAACCATGGCTGTTGATGAAGAAACTGATAACGAAGGATTTGGAGGAACATTCGAAGCTCTTTCCTTTGATAAAGCTGAAGAAGATTTCCCTGACCATATGCTGATGACGATGAAGCAGTTCAAGATATTGAATTCAAAATTAAATTCTATCTTGCAATCTTAAGCGGACGTGGGAAGTGCTGGAATCACTATCATGGAAGTTGATTCCATAATGAAGGAAATGGAAAGCAGGATGATTTCGAAGGCATCGGGGTTAATACGTGATTCTGAAAGCCGCATTCTTGAGAAAACTGATCAGAATGATAGTTCTACAAAGAATAGAATCAATTCTCTGAGATCTGATTTTCTGAAGGAAGTGAAGGATTTGAAGACTGTTACGAAGGAGCGTCATGTGCTCTTCGTACAGGAAGTTAAGAAGGTTAGAGAAGACGTTAATATGCAAATTCGTGAACTTTGTGAAACAATGATGAAGGAGGTTCAACATATTTAACAAGGGTATGAATCAGCACATCAGAAGATCGACATTATTTGTGATGCGGTTGTTCAGTGTGTTCAGATGTTCGAACAAGTCAATCCTCAGATGATCTCTCTTTCAACCATAGAAGAACAACATTTTGGAGAGTTAGTGAAACTGTTGAAAGAACTCCAAGATATATTTTCGAAAGTTTCTTCACCAATTATTTTTCAAGAATTTCTTTCTCAGAAATTCATTTGTTTCGAAGCCATTCTACAAAAACACCTTGCTCCATTGCTTCGAATTTCAAGCCTTTTGCCACACGTATCAGATGCCCCACCTGCTATCACAAGGGTGCAAGGGGGAGAAAAGGTTGGTCAAGCAAAGGCTGGGGAACATGAGAAGAAAACTGAAGATATGAAGGTGGTAGGAAAGGTTTATCCTTCGAAAGGTTTTGTTAAGCTAACAATTGTTTCAGCTGCTCCAGTTATTTCAACTGTGACTACAACTGTTCCAATTTCAAGACCTATTGCAAAAGGGATTGTAATTCTGAATCAAAGTGATGTCTCTTCGTCAAAGAATGTAGCTCCTTTGAATGATAAAGACAAGGGAAAAGGAGTTTTGGTTGAGAAGTCTAACAAAGAGAAGAAAGCTGAGGTGGCAGCTGAAATTGAAAGAATGAGGCAAGTTCAAAGTATAATGCGACAAAGAGCTCTCGAAGGTTCAAATGTTGATAAGGGGGATCCTTTAAAAATGTACAATTACGAAACAATAGAATCCAGGGTGATGTTCGATCACATGTATTCTTTTGAAAAGATTCTGAAGAAGAGCTTTGTGGTGACAAATACTGATTTTTGTCAACTTGATTTTCCAATCAACGAAATGATGTTCGTTATGCCACAGTTCAAAGCTGAGACAAAGTCTATGGATACCGAAGAGGGAAAGAAGATGAAGATACGTTTTCATGCAGTATTAGCAAAGGCTCAAGAAGAAGTTTGGTTCTTGGAGAAAATTAAGAAGGTGATATCTATAAAAATGGATGTCATTTTCGAAGAGAAGTTTCAAAATGTAAAATATGTTGTGGCAAGGGCGAGTGGAAAGATACAAGAGTTTACTGTGGCGGACTTTCCATTGATGAACACTTATGATCTTATCAATGTTTCCCTGATACTAATTGCAGAATAATAACATATAATAATGTTTTTATGTTCTCACACTATTAACTGTTTTTATTTGAACTATCCCATAAATATATATATATATATATATATATATATATATATATATATATATATATATAAAACAAGACTACAAAATACAAATGTAATTGTTGTAGTGGTGTGCTTTGTCCAAAACACTGTTGGAAGTTGATCTCCGAGTTCCCAAAGCTATTGAAAAACTATAGAAAGTGTCTTCTGAACTACAAAAGCGCATTTAATTATATTCAATGACAACTAAGATGATGATGGTGGTGGTGTTAAACATGAAGGTTGTAGAGAAGATCGACTAAGGGGAGAGTATGATATAGACACATCAGTTGACTTGATTCTCTGCCTATTCCTCCGTGATGGGGCATGATAAGGAAGGTTGTATGTCCACTACTAGGATTCCTCCTTCTCTCTAGTTCTAGGTGTGACTATGTTTGGTTGCAAGCCTTATCAAATAATCTCTTAGAAATGCATTTAAATAACCAATTACCTAATTTAATACTTATCATTGGCACTTTTTGGCATATAATATAACCTCTAGTAGGTCGATGCATTTATTATTATTATTATTATTATTATTATTACTATTATTATTATTATTATTATTATTATTATTATTATTATTATTATTAAATAATAGATAATATTTAAAAATATTTCATCATACATTGAAAACATATGACAATCAGAATGAGATTCTGGTTTGCCTTGAGGTTGAGAATCGTTGATTGTGCCATCAGTTCAATGTTTGAAGGAGTTTCAGAAGAAGCCGCAATGGATGCTCGGAGAAGAAGATGAATGGTAGAGAGAATTTTCTCTGGGAGAATTTTGTTACTTTTGAAAGTGGTAATGACAACAGAATCATCAAAATCCTTTTGTATTGTATGATAAGAGAGAGAAAAATCTGACGATTAATGATCCCAAATCCCTTAAAAAGGGTCTAAAAAGGCGTGACTGACGCCACCAAACAAATAGATTTAATGCATTTATATGTCCCACTCCCACATCGGTTCATTTATTAAAGGTAAAAAAGGAAATAACCCTATATATATATATATATATATATATATATATATATATATATATATATATATATATATATATAAAGATGGGAACGGCTCTTATACGTAAAATCTTAGAGCCTCGTTTTCTTTCTCTTTGGTATATTTTTATTCAGAAACGAGTTTTAGGTAGTAAGAAAGGGTTCGACATACACATCTAGAGCAGTGTTTTATTAGTTCGAGGAAGATGAGGATTTCGATTAAAGGAGGTGTTTGGACAAACACAGAGGATGAGATCCTCAAGTCTGCTGTGATGAAATACGGGAAGAACGAATGGGGTCGTACGTCTTCCTTACTTGTGCGCAAATCCGCTAAGCAGTGTAAAGCTCGTTGGTACCAGTGGCTCGATTCTTCCATCAAAAAGGTACGCATCATATTCTCAAGAATTGCTACTTTACATATTGATTTTAATCTATCGAGGTGTCAATTTCTGACTAATGTTTTTTTTATCTTTAAGCAATAACGTTAATTAAGTGGTATATATGTTTCATATATACACACAAACAAGTTTTTCAAATTCTGACATGGGATATACGTTTTGGTTTACCACATACAACAAAATTAAAATTTATATGTTGATGATGTCTGTATCTTGATGATTCTTTTCTCGGGTAATGTCATTGCAAGGGTAAGTTGCATGAACTTGTTAGGAGAAAGCTTGTATATTGTTAGGTAGAGACAAAGAGATAGGAGAGACCCTTGAATAAAGAATTACCACTAAACTCTAGCTCTTGATAAAATCATTAATATTCTTGGCATCAATTTTGTAATAATCGATATCCTGAGTGTTTTTCTCTTTAAATTTACAGACTGAGTGGACCAGAGAGGAAAGGATAAAGCTGGAAGAGCTAAAAGATTTTTGTTTCAAACTTCTGAAGTGGAGAGATATACAAATTCACAATATACGAACTTAATTGTTCGTATGAATCACTGCAAGAAGAACTCAGAAGGAGACAAGAAGGAGATAAAGAAATTTATTTCCTGGTATGTGGAAATCCGAAGAGTGTTGATGTATGCCGTTCAACTACTAACTTCATGAAGGCTTCGACCTTTATTCCAAAGGGGGAGATTGTTAGAGTTTAAATGTTGTAATATGTCGAAGTGTTAGTTGTTACGAAGGATCTTTAGTCTTCGTAAGAAGAGTCTTCGGAAGTAATGTTATTTTTACTAAGGCATTTTAATGAATTGTCTTAATGTCTAATCCTTAGTATTTTTATTATGCTTTTTGTATTCCTATAAATAGGGGTCTGTACTAAGTGAGTAGAAACTTTTCACGGAGACTTTACAGAATATTCTTTGTACTATGTAAAATCAAGAGCATAATATGAGCTGAACCAAGATTATATTTACTCTCGTGTTCATCGTTTTTCTTCTTTCTGAATTCTTACATGAATTGATCTTAAACTCGATTACAAATCTCTTCAAAGAGCAGAGAGATCATACGGAAGCGGCGAGTAGTCCGACGGCCAACATAGAGAGAGTATGTGTGTGTACTGGAATAGCGAGCAATTCGATGACCGGTGAGGAGGCTCGAGGTGGAGGTGACGTTTTCGGCAGATTTGAGATTTTTTTCCGTGATTTATCGTTTTCTTAAACGCAAAACTTATTAGATTATAGATTGGTGGGTTTTTATAGAGTTTTAAGAGTAGTTTTTTGATTGATTTGGTTTCCTCAACAAACAAGGTTAGATTTGATTTTTTGCAGTGATTTTCGGAATTTCAGTTCATTGTTTATATAGTCTCATAGTTATATGTAAAACTGTTTAAAACAAGGGGGCCTAATTAGTCTTTTTGGTGATATTTCGTAACTGATATACATGTATACATGTATTATGAACATCAAAACCAGAGGGGCCATGGCCCCTCCTGGCCCCTAATGAGGTTTTTATTTTTCACCATTACATTGTAATTTTCGAAAACGTGATAAAATTCCATTATTAAACAAAAGAAATAGAAATGAATTTATACTAATATGGTTATTATTACATCAAGGTTTCACCTGTTTTATCTATTGCGGTATAATAAAAAAAAACCTGTTACCGCTTCTCAAGAGAAGTTTATATGTCAACCAAGCCTCATAATAATGCCATTTTTCTATAAAATTCAACTATAAATTTACAAAATGACCAATTAACACAACCAAATGTATTATACAACAATTAACATACTGTAAAAGTTCTTACTTAACCAAAACAGATTTTTTGTATGCATTGATGCATTCTAGTATGACACACAAAAAGACCTATATACGCATCTAGTATGACACACAAAAATACCTATGTACGCATGGACATACTGACCTTGTTCGTGTGGACATCCAGGGCACGGGCACAATTGCAGTTAAATGTTGGCCAAAACTAATGGTGAAAAATCCAAGGACACATCAAAACATATCATGCTCTTTCACAAAATAAACACATTAGCATTGCTCACATTAACTATGATTGTTTAGACCTTTAACTAAACTAAACTTCAATTCCACCACAAAAGTACGCATTCATTTCATTATAATAATCATTTGAAGAGCTTGAATTGATTGATTTTAACTTTGTCTTTGACGTGTTCTTTACGATCTTCGTAATAATCATCTTCATTATTCAATGATAACCTACCGTAAAAAAATTAAATAATTCAAACTTATAACCAACTTACCCTTGTCTTTTGTTTCACTGGTTTCCTTGGTATATATTTCAATTTAGAAGGTTAAATCATTAAAAATATATGATAAGACATACACCGTGTAGTATGGATAGGACCACACACACATATATATATATATATATATATATATATATATATATATATATATATATATATATATATATATATATATATATATATATATATATATATATATATATATATAAAAGTAAGTTCAAATAAAAATAAAAAATAGTGTGAGAACGTAAAAACACTATGTTTATATTATTATTCTGTAATGAATATTGTATATGTGTATTTTTGAAGTAATTATAATATAAATCTTAAGGTTTGATTATTCATATATTTATTAGAATCTTATTATTCTATTATAAATTTATGTATGTGTATTTTTATAGTAAATTTTAATTTTAAATTTTTAACCTATGATTATTCATTTATTCATTGCTGATTAATAACACAAAGTTGTGGATATAAAACTCATTGCAGAATAATAACATAGAATAGTGTTTTTACGTTCTGACACTATTAACTGTTTTTATTTGAACTATCCCATAAATATATATATATATATATATATATATATATATATATATATATATATATATATATATATATATATATATATATATATATATATATAACAAGACTACAAAATACAAATGTAATTGTTGTAGTGGATACAAAACTCATTACAGAATAATAACATAGAATAATGTTTTTATGTTGTCACACTATTAACTGTTTTTATTTGAACTATCCCATAAATATATGTGTGTGTGTGTGTGTATATATATATATATATGCAACGCCCCAAAATTAGAGACTAAAAATTTCTTTTAATAAAACATTACTTAAAGCAAAATCATCAATCCAAAACATAAACAGAGTATTAATTTCCAAAACACATGTTCATTATCAGAGTCAAACATTCCCAGGCTAACTGACTATGGTGTGTGCACTGCAATCTCCCCGAGCTCCTCTTTTGAAAACTGAGTACCTGAAACCAAAACTGAAAACCGTAAGCACGAAGCTTAGTGAGCTCCCCCAATCTAACACATACCATACAACAACATATAAAGCACATACTGGGCCTTGCCCACTGCATCGGACCAATGTCCGGACTAACTGGGGCCTTGCCCCTTCATCGGACCGAAGTCCGGAAACTGACTGGGACCTTGTCCCCTGCATCGGACCGAAGTCCGGACTAACTAGGGCCTTGCCCCCTGCATCGGACCGAAGTCCGGAAACTGACTAGGACCTTGTCCCCTGCATCGGACCGAAGTCCGGGCTAACTGACTGAACATAGCATAGCATAACATATCAACTAGCATGAACACATATACTGCATACTACATCGGGCCGTAGCCCGGAACACATAACACATAACACATAAAACATAGCACGTAAATCCTGTCTGAGCCACGAAGGCATCAAACATACTAACTACTGCATCGGACCGAAGTCCGGAAACTACTGCTAACTGAACGGGCCGGCATTGTGGCCTTAGACCCGTCCCTACTGGAAGGAAACTCACCTGAGACTGCTGAACTGATGCTGCTAATCCTCTTGACTGCTACTTGACCTCTGACTCCGAACTGCTGCTCCACTAACTCTTCGAGCTTCAAAAGCCAATAAAACACCCAACTGACCTCCAAAGGTCACTAGGTCAACTCTGGTCAAGGTCAAAATCCTAGTCAATGTCAACCTTCCAGGTCAACCCTACTCGCCGAGTTTACCTACTGACTCGCCGAGTTCCTACGCTCAGGGTCTTTCTTATTCGCGACTCGACTCGCCGAGTCAGTCTATGACTCGCCGAATCCAACTAGTTCCAAGTCCTGTCCTGTCCAACTCGCTGAGTCACCACCGACTCACTGATTCGAGTCTCAACTCGAAGGGTTTAGGGTTTCGTGATCTGACTCGCCGAGTCCAAGAACAGACTCGCCGAGTCCTAGACAATCTTCAACCAACTCGTCGAGTTGTTCATCCAACTCGCCGACACCATGCCTAACTTCATCCGACTCGACGAGCTGCTCATCCTACTCATCGAGTTCCTCCTCATCTTCAAGCTACTCGC